TGGGACTAGGAGCCACCTCTAACAGGTGATGGTTTGACTGGGACTAGATCTAGGCTGACAGTATGATCTCTGACTGCTTCCTCATGCCTTTGCACATGTATTGTGTTGCAGTGCAGGTGTTGCATACATTTGATGCATCCCTGTTTTACAGTCAGTATATCTGTATGCCTGGGAAGGCATTTGTGGAATATTAGGAGTAATCGGACATTGTTAGTGGTTTGTATTGGTTTATGTAATTCATAGGATCTTGAATGGGAGAATAGAGTGTGCAGTAAAGTTAGTCAACTTAAGTTACTCAAAGATTTAGTTATCACCATTCCATACAGCAGTTCTGATAAACAACTTGAGATAAAGACCCAGGAGTACATCAAACACAATCAAACTGCGATCATGGGGTGTTATTGTTTTCATGTTTGTGTGGATGTAAATGACAAATGAGCACACACAGAAGGTTGTGATGAATGCTTGGACTGAAAATGGGCAGTGGCTCCTCTGACCAGTTTGTCTTGTGTGTTGTGCCAGTTCACGCTGGGAGTGACGGAGGAGCAGCAGGACATGATCCCCCCCACCACCAAGTCCCTGCGACAGCGCCGCTGTGGCCACTGTCTGCTGCAGGTAGCCTCCACACACACAGCAGCACGCTGTCATGGGCTCATACGACTGAACACAATTAGAATGAATACAGACAGATTTATGAGGCAGAAAGAGTGTTACATTGTGTTTGCATATAAAAAAGAAACCCTTTCTTACTTTAGTCTCGTTGTATTGGAGAGTAAAGGTTCAGTCTCCATTGACGAAACAGTCATTTGTCAAAACAAAACATTCAACTCAAGGGCCACTTATTTGCCTTTTCTGGGGCTTTCAACCGCATCTCACATAGAGCGGACAGCATCTCAGTTTGGAACTTCAATCATGTGTTTGCAGTAATAACAAAAGTTACAAGAGTTGTAGTGGAGGGCCTTGAGTTAAGTGGTTTCTGAGCCTGTGGGATGGATGGATGGATGGATGGATGGATGGATTGATTGGTTGATTGATTGATTGATTGATTGATTTTCTGTAGACATGGAGTTGTAATTTGTCATCTCTCTGTGGTAACAGTGTAGCTCTCAGGCTGAAATGTGACACTCAATGTTCTACAAGTACGTAAGATCCCTCAGTGGTATAGAATAGCAGATGGGTTGCTGAGCAGAACAGTTCTATGTTACACACTTGTACTACCTCCAGTGAACACAGATCCTCATATGACCCAGCAGGTCACTCACTGTGTCCAGTAATGTAATGTAAATGTAGACGTGAGTTTAACCCTTCTATGAAACATGAACCTGACATCCCTCTTTAAATACAGACTCACACGTCTAATCAGGATGTGAGGTTTTGTGCCGCTGTGTAAGATTTGTTTTGAATTGTACAGGTCATTATGTCAACCGAAACATATTGAGCTTGTAAAGCCACACACATTTTGAAAGAAAAATCTTAACTCAAGGTCCACGTACTGGCTTTTGGAGCTTTCAACCACATCTCTCAGTCTGTGTCAAAGGTCAACGTAATGTGTAAGAAGGCCATCGCTCCTTCAGGATCAACAACTAATAAACTGTAATTCCGGTGGGTTCTGTACCAGTCGGTCCTTCCATGTACGTTCATGATGCAAAGAGGGAAAGTTGTTGCTGTTGTGACACAAAAACAAAGATACAGTACACCACCAGTTACAGCTGCAGCAACACATGTTGTAAATATCACAACTATAGCGTATCCATGTGCTTTGTGAAAGCTCAGGTGTAGTCTCATGTTGTCCTCTCCTCACACTGAGGTTAACCTCCAATATTCCTGAGACGAGATCTCTGTAGCTCTAAACAGAACACTGGCTAGTTCAGAACAACAGGGTTCAACTTTACGCTTTCAGTACACATAGCATGTTGTTTTTTTATTTAACAAAATATGTATGTTTCATCTAAATACAATGACCTTTGTTCCAAGCAGCAGCCAATGAGATCAAAGCACTGCCAGACGTGTCAGCACTGTGTCCGGCGGTACGACCACCACTGCCCCTGGATCGAGAACTGCGTTGGCGAGAGGAACCACCGCTGGTTTGTGCTTTACCTGGCCATCCAGCTGCTGGTGCTGCTCTGGGGGCTGCACATTGCCTGGTGAGTACAACACTGTCACCAACCCCCTGTGCTGACAGGTGAATGCTGCAGCTGCAAAGCCTCCACAGATTGCTTCTCTCTTGCTTGTTTCATCAGGACGGGTTTCAGGTACGCACCCAGCTGGCAGCTGTGGCTGCGTACCAACGGCATGCTGCTGACCGTGGTCGTGCTGGTGGCTCTGCTCTCGCTGATCGTGCTGCTCCTGCTCGGCTCCCACCTCTACCTGGTGTCTCTCAACACCACCACCTGGGAGTTCATGTCGCGCCATCGCATCTCCTACCTAAAACACTGCGGCGCTGATGAAAACCCCTTCGACCGGGGCACCTTCAACAACCTGTGGGGTTTCTTCTGCGTGTGGGGCACAGTGGTGTGGGAACAGGTGTACTTCAGGGAGGGCAGCGACCAGGTCTAGGATTACATGACATTCAAAGACTGAAAGGGATTTCACTCAGATGTAACCTCTCTAGTTTTTGGGACCAGACACTTAACTGCAAAGTTGGGAGATGAATTATGCTTTTGTGCAGTTTACCTTTATGAAGACACTTGTGTTGTTGTCCCACATTTACCGTCTTTAACATCTCTCCTCCCAGTGGTCCACACTTCCTGTTTTTCACAGAAGTGGCTGTCAACAGGTTACCAGCATTAAAGCCCTTATTCTAACATTCGTTTACAGCCATTGAAGGATACAGAAGCATTTCAGGCCCTTCACTGTCTCATGTGAAGGCCGAGTGAAGCTCGTCGTAAAGCCTTGGTCTTTATGCTCCCACATCCTACCTGACCGCTCCTATGTACTCCACGCAATCATTTCTGTGAGCAATGAACATTGTACACCCGACTGTTAAATACTTTTAAAGTTTACTTTTAATACATGTTAATTATTGCATAAACATTTGATAAAAAAAAAATCCTTGTTTTATGTGCATGTGTAGACAATCCAGATGTGTGGTTGCTCTGTTCACTCACTGCAGACAGGTCCAATGAGTTCTACTGTAGAAGCGTCATGCTGTCATGCTGCTCTTGTTTCATGCGACCGATTACTGTAAGTGCTGAGTGGTATTTATTCTGCAGAGGTTTTACAGCTTCCACATCTTCACTCTTAAAACGGTTAGTTGAAGTTAACATTTTCATTTTTTCTTTTCAAACATCAGATGACGGTAGCTGTATTGTTCATGGCATTTGTACAGGAAGCTTTGACTTTCAATGGACAGCATTTCAAGCTATTTTATATTGTATGTCATTTTGTAACTATTTTGAACCAGAACATGTCTCTAGATTTTTGTATGACTATTTGAATGGAGTACCTGGAGGAGCAGCAGCTCAGCGTTAGAGCAGTGAGTGCAATAGTTCCCTTGTAACAGCAATAAATGTTGAATTCAATGTACAGCTGTGGTGCTGGACAACATGCAGACTGCCTCCAGTTGTATTAGTCAGTGAGCGCTCTGGTTTTTATGAATTAACATTTAATTCATGTTGTGTACTTCTGAATTATATGCAATACTGTCATGCAATGTTTTTACTACTTTAAAATGACTATACATCAAAAAATAAATGTTAATGACGAGTTTCCTGATCATTTAAAGTCCAGCAGATATCAATTTATTCATTAATATTTCCTTCATGTTGTTTACACTTACATATAGGCTGGTCTGTTCTATATGAGCATAATCTTCATGATAGTATCCTTTTTAAATAACATACAGTTGTATTGACTGAGCAATCTCTCTGAAGAACAGTATTAGAGTATTACATCCCAACAACATAGAGACGGTTAACAACAGATGGAAGTCGGATAAATAGCACAAGATAGCGTTTGGACTTCAGAGTCACTTTTCTTCATTAAGATCACAAATATTTAGAGTTTAGTTCTTCGACCGAGAGGGCTGGAACAATGTCCATGTCCTATTGCACTGGTGACATGTTTCATACAGTGAACGGTACTTGATCCTACGGCTCGATTAGAGAAAGATCTTTGTAGTGTGTTTAAAGCAGCCACAGAGGACATGAAAAAGACAGGACGGTAGTTTCTCAGCTTCTGTTCAGTCAGAAGAGCTTTATGGCAAATAAAAGTGAGGATGAACAGGAGCAGCCTTCCACAGTGAGCGAGGGAGTCACTTTAGTCAACTCATGAGAGAAAAGTCAAAGTCAGCAAAGATTTCTTGTTGCTCAGCAGTGAGGACGTAGGCTGTTCGTGGGGGGGTGAGGACCGGCTTGAGACGTGTGAACTCGTCGTCGAAGTTACTGACGTCCTTCAGCGCTCTGATGACCGGCAGGAAGGGAGGCTTCATGTTTTTGGCCAGGAGAGCGGGCCAGTCCATTCCCTGTCAACAGACAATGAGGAGGAGCAGGAATCACTAAAGACATCACCTTCAATGTGCAGTCAGTGCTGAGAAAGATGTTCAAGTTGGAGTACAATAAAAATATATTCAACTGGTTCAAAATGTATAAACGTGGTGGTTTTCACAGCAGCCGTCACTAATGTGCTTTAACTGCTAGAACAAACTAGACTTACGCCTTGTGTTTATATGCCTCTGCTAGGCAGGCAAGTTCCCAAACATTCCTGTATATTATACCTTTAAGAGGAGCTGGATTATTTACACAGTATTATTATTATTATTATATGCTTATTAGTAGCACAATGTCAGTATTTCATCTTTAAACAACACAGTTATCAATTCCAGTACATGGCAACATCCCTAATGTCAAAGTGGGAAAAATTATTTTTAAGATGAATGTCACATTCCTACTCTTTGTTGAATATTTTGGTGTCACACAGAACTAGAACTACACAACTGATGTTTTCTCTTCATTCTCAGTGGCTACAGGTTTTCAAAAGTGGATTTCCTGCTCTGGGTCCAGTTCAGTGTTACTTCAAATGAGCTGTGATGTGAAACGGTGAATGTTGAAGAAGCCTGAAAGCATTAGAACTCTACTAGCTCATCAAAAAGGTATGCTATCTAATACAGTAGTTTGTCCTGAGTGGAAGCTCTACAGAAAGAAGAGGTGACTATCAGGCGGTCAGCAGCGCCTGGCCGGATAATGACCTGAAAGAATTTGTGTCTTTTAATCTCCGAGGCGTCTTCCTCGCCTCCTCCCAGTCTCATCTGAGGATTCTTCTGCAGCAGCTAAAACACAGTGAAAGCAATGGAGAGGAGTAAATAAACACATGAGATCAGAGCGAGAGATTTTGTCGAAAAAGATCACGAGTAAACTCCTGAAGAGAATCCAGATCCAACCTTTTGAATGAGGGACACAGACTCAGGAGAAAGGAAGCGAGGGTAGCGCACGTCATCGTTGACGATGCTGTCAAACACCTCTTCCTCATCATCACCTGGGAAAGGAGACTGAGAGAGAAGAGAGCAGCACAAACTGAATAATGTTCTAGAAGATTCTGTTCCTTCGGTGGTTATACACAGTACAGGGAGATCGACTGAGTTACTGTGTCTGCTTTTGAGCTCAACATCTGGAAGCTGTCTACAGATCTAGTCTGTCTTAAAACAATAAAAACGTCTTCCCATATACATCGCTGTCCATACTCACCTCTAAGAGATCCGCTAATGCAAAACCCACGGTTCATCTCTAAAGAAATGTTACACTGACAGAAAGCTTTTGTGGTCTGCATCATGCCAGCAGTGTGGCCCTTCATCAAGGCTGACACAAGCTATTTCTGTTTATCACAATATAAATGCTATTATTCATAGATTTTGACACAGGCACCCTAAACAAGATGGGGCCTCAAGATCAAGTTAAAATGCAGGAGCAACTATAAAGTGTTATTATAAAAGTATCGATTATAGACCATGTGTCAAATGACAATGTGAAAACAATATGACAATGTGAAAGGTGTCTGTTGTAGTGCTGAACATCCACAAAATGATCTGCTGGTTTAACGGAGTGTAAGATCATTGCTGTTCTGTCTAGTTCACTCTCTCGGCTCTCATTTAGAGAAAAGGCTAGAAAACCACCGTACACAATGACAGAGAGGAGAGAAGAGAGGAAAGGAGCCCCCATCATTCACCCACACTGATGGCTGGGGATACCATGCAAGGTGCCACCTGCCCATCAGACTATCTAACATTCAGAATCAGAACAAGAACAAGAAGAAGAAGAAGAAGAAGAAGAAGAAGAAGAAGAAGGTTGGACTTCACGGTCATTTTCACTCCATCCACTTTGAGGTGATGGTATGTCAGTGTTTGTGTTGAGTTAATGTGATGTGGGGCTCCCGTGAGCTGCTTTACATTTGCCTTGTCACGTTCATACTGACCTCCCCCACCAGCATCTCATAGACGAGGACCCCCAGCCCCCACCAGTCCACACTGCGGGTGTAGGTGTTGTCCGTCAGCACCTCTGGGGCCAGAAACTCCGGTGTGCCGCAGAACGTTGTGGTGCGATCGCCGTGGCCCATACCTACACACAGCACAGCCTCACTACAGACTCATCACACACGCTCACTCATAGGTCAGCACATAATAACGTCAACATGCTGTTATGACAGAAAACTACTGAGATGAGTTCATGAGTGCCATCAAATCAAATGAATAGGTGTTCATGTTCCAAGCCTGCACACACTGAATCCTGTCACAAGATGAACACTTCTATAGCAACTATGAAATGATTGCAATGTGCTGTAGGTCAAAAGGCGACATCACTTTTAAGAGTTTGACATCTACTGGAGCTTAACAATGACAGAATGATCTTACCTTCTTTGCACAAGCCAAAGTCTGCTATCCTGACAAAACCATCTGCATCCATCAGCAGATTATCCAGCTTCAGATCCCTGGCAGACAGACACAAAGCAACATGCAACATGCAACATGCTCCCGACATGCAGCCAGGTATGAAGTAATACCGTTCTGAAAGCAGCTGAGGAGGACTCACCTGTAAACTATTTGGTTCTGGTGTAGAAACTCCAGGCCGAGCAGCACACAGGACGAATAAAAGCTGAAACCAGAGAGAGAGGGATGAAATAACAGCAGCATCCTGTATTTAGGCTGCATGTCATGGCTTCACAGAGTGATGTGTGCTAACCGGGCCTGTTCCTCAGTGAAGATGCTGGTGTGAATGTGTGTCATGAGGTCTCCTCCGGGGGAGTAGGCCATCACAAAGCACACGTGGTCTGCAGTCTGGAAGCAGCCGTACAGGTTCACCAGGAAAGGATGCTGGGAGGTGTTGATCACTTCAAAGATCCTCTTTTCACACATGAGGCTGAACACAGACACACGGGGACATATGTAGCGATATCTGCATGAATGATGTATTGCACCCTTATTCAGGATATCCGTTATCATCACTTTATGACAAAACACCTTCACTTGTGAAGAGATGGTTACGGATGAAAATGCTGGCCCTTTGGAACAATTGGGTATTTTTGTATTCTTTAAGTACAAGACAGACATTTGTTGCAGTTCGGTTTACACTTGGATTCCTCACTGCAGCTCATGATAACACCAGCTGACTTCATGATGAGAATTAGAAATTAAAAAAGTATATAAACTGCTGTCATCAACAACAACAAAGAATCTACAAACTGAAATGTACCCGTGACTGTAAATGCAACATTTCAGTCAGATAGTCCTCATCAGTATTAACTACTTCCCTCCTCCCTGCACAGTCTTATATAACTCTGAACTTTTTACCATCATTTGTTCAGGAAACAAAAGAGAAACAATACTCACTCTATACTACTGAGAATGTTGAAAATACCAAACGCATTTAATAAGATATATTTAAAAATACACACTATTACTGATTTCATATCATATCAAGTACTTCATTCATGGTTCTGATGACATGACTTGTAATTAACAGCTCACATGAACATGAGTTAACAGACCAGTTGATGCCAGGTACTCAGGACCACTGGGAAGCCAGGTAACCCAAGGAGAGCCCCACTAAGACCTGCTCTGTGATTCAGGGCCCTGGTGGAGAGAAGCATCGACTCTATAATTATGTCTCAAGGGATCGCTTACCTGTCAACTTCATCACGTGTTACGATGTCTCCTTTCTTCAGGGCTTTGATGGCGTACAGTTTGTCTGACTTCTTATTCTCTGCTAGCAGCACCTTTGATCAGTTACAGGGTATGAAGATTATTATCATCATATCATTAGTACTGATCCAAAGCCTGCTACTGACGCTGTACAGGAGCAACAGGTTAGAGGAGATGCCTACCTTACCGAAGTGACCTCTCCCCAGAACTGAAATGCAGGTGAAGTCTTCCATCTGAAGTCCTTCACTCCTGCTGCATGACAGGACAACAGTCAACACGTTTTGCAACTGAAGAATTCCTTATGAGTTCTCTGCACTCATCGCATGAATGAAAGAGTACTAATACATGTACGTTCTTTGTGACAGGAACTTTAAGAGGAGAAGACAGAGACTTTTCTCACCAGCTACACTGTGGTGTTACGTTATAACTCACATAGGAGTCACTACTACCACTGAGAGGAAGCCTCCTTCTGGCTGCAGTGCTTGAATATGATATACATGTATGGAGTGTTTACACTGTCTTTTGGTGTACTTGGATATAAACTGTGAACTTTAGTTAGGGGAGGTAGCTTTGTATATTTCAGGCTCCATCTCTCTCTCATCATCATCATCACACTCCGAAACTCAAGGATATTTCCAAACAAAGGCACAAATTCTCTGCATTCCTACTCAGCATGACTTACTGTGGAGGAGGATGAATTGAGGGATGTCGCTTGTTCTCACCAGGACACTGGTTTCACACACACAATAGAGATTAACTGACACATTTGATTCACAAACAAGAACACATGAAACAACAGAAACATTAGGGCTGGAACAAAACCACTGCAGATCATGACCTCAATCTTAATATTATACAAAGACATTCAGCACTCGTTCTGCTGCTATTAATCTTTGGCTGACTTTCTTACCGGCGGAGAGTCTTTAGTGCTCTTTCTTGTGCGATGTGGAGATCTGCCGGGTTGTTCTTCATTAAAATGTAGACTCACAGCAGGTTCTCTGAAAACAAGAGGAAGAGCTCCTTCACTGTTGTGGTTGTGCTGGTGGTAGTATTGTTGACTACCTTCAGCGATGTACCTTGATTTTCTAAACTTCTTTGAGCAAAATCTCCACTACACTCAAACTCAGGTTACTGTCTCGAAACCGCTTATACATTGCCGTAATATAAAATTGATGTATGCCTACTTACCAAACCAAAACAAGCACAAAATAACAAACGTACTAAAATCATTTGTTTGCATTGTTAGGCTTCTTCCTGCAGCTGGCACCTCCTAAAACATCAGGTGGAATACTCCTCATATGGTTTCCCTCCGAGAACCGTTATGTTATAAATTTATTATGTATAGCCACTTTCAAATTTTTGTTTCAATGCTTTCATTTTGTGTACAGTCTAAAAGTGCTTGGGTTTTTCTATGTCACTCATTTTATCTTCATACATAAAGAGATTTGTATTTGTACCAATTAAAAACTTGCATTTAAAAAGGATTTAAGATGTACAGTCAACAGGACTGATGATACGAGGCTTACGAACCGAACAATACATTTGAATAATACTCGTGCATTTGGAAAATGCAGAAGCTTAAATTGTGGGAAATAGAATGTTTTCAGTGGACTTTGCTCAAACTGGCAACATGCTGTCTGACACCCCGCAAACAAAACATTGTACGTGGTGTGGCACATGTGTTCAGGGAGGCGCGCTATACTAGCTTAGCAGGAAATCCAACAGTAGCACTCACGCTACACACTCCCTGCAGTGTTTAGCTGTTCCTACTGATTCAAACAGGCTAAAGCAATCACCACACAATCCCCATTTCTCCAGACCATCATTCTTGCTTTGTTAAAGAAAACAAAACCCCAAACAGAAAATCAAATGTCCGACCCTAACCCCGCGATGACGGGATGCTGTGTCATTAACGGACAATGCATAGAGTCAAAATTAATGTAATTAACACAATGACAAGAACCAGTGTTGTGGCAAAATGACGAGAAGAGACGGCGAATTGAAGTTGCAACCCAGCGGGAAGTGTTTTAATATGCACACGCCCAACATACGAGTTTAGCAAATCGAAACAAATCCAAAGTATTACTTTTCACAGATCACTTTTATAGTCCAGATTCACCCCCCCTTTAGTCACTTTCCACCAATCAAACCAGTCCGTTGAACCAAAAACAAAGCACATCTGGTCTCTTCATTATGTCATGCTCTCATGTCCTCGTTTGGGTCAAGATAACCTTTTGGCAGAACACACGATTCATGTACGGGAAATGTTTTGGTACGAATTGGAGAGATTTATTACAATTTGTCTGGTGCGCCCTAATCACTTCCTAAGAATGTTGTTATGAACCAAAATGTGTGTTACATAACACGTTATATAAACTGTTTACTTGTGAATCCAAATGTGTTCAGTTCAATCCTAAATTACGGTATATGATGATTTTCTTCCAACACCAGTCACATATATTCATATGACAACAAAGCATGACAAATCAATCCAGCAACACTGCAGCACTAAAACAGTATTCCACCGCACACTGAAGAGCACGAGCCATTCATCAGAGGGAACAATATTAACCAGATCATAATAACGACACCATAGACAAACGAACACAGTAGTAACGCTACTGCAGATGTAAAAACACAAAAGCACTTCACTTACCAAAGCTGCTGTTCACTTAAAGACAAAGTCCATCCTCCTTTCTGTGTTAACAAAGAGTTCAATGACGCGGTTGTACAGAACATTGGTACGGGTCAGTTCCAGCCAGAGGTCCTCCTGTGAACGTGTTCGTTGAGTTGTAGATCCACTCGGGTCTCACCAAAAGTTTTCATAAGCACCGTAGCTTGTAAGTGTCCTGCCTGTTATGGTGCCGTGTTGCTGCCTTGGTTAGCCACCTCAGGTTAGCGTAGCATAGCTCCAAACAGCTCCAAACACCAAGACGCTCAGTTGTAAATGAAACGCATTCTTAGCCATAAAATGTGCAACGCTTCTCCGCCGCCGTCAGCCAGAAATACCGTTCGTACAAATCCTTTTCCATGCTGGGTCAGGGCAGCTAGCTGTGGGGTTGACCGACCCTTTGATACGATGTCCAGCTTATCCTGAAATGTCCTTCTACAGAAAGGTGTTGTCAGTAACTCCGCCACCAAATCCGTTTCTCCTCCTTCAGCCATTGAGTGTTAAAAAAACAAAGCTAGGTAAAGAATCTACACCAAGCAAAACGCTAAAAATGTCATAACTTCTTACATATCTTTCAACTTGAACTCTTACTACTAACTTCTGATAGCTAGCTTTCTGCTTCACAACAGTCACGCTAGCCCCACTGACCAATCACGCTGCACGTTAATGCTGACGTAGTTGTAGACTACCTAGACAGCACTGGCACGTCAAAGATTACGCCCAACATGTCAAACTAAAGATCTGATTGGTTGAAGACTATGACAATCAACAATATCGTCCCCATTCACTTAAACTGCAAAGGCTCTCTAGCGGGCATCGGGCCTCTCTCCTTACATAGAGACATAGAGGATGAATCTGATTGGATAAAAGCTCTACTTAACACAAGCTGTGCTGGAAGCAGAGCAACAGAGGAAGACAGGAGCTGTGCAATGAGAAAATAAGATAATGGGGAAAATAATTAGAATACATGGAGTGTATTTATGAAAAATTATAAAATTATAAAATAGCTATAACTTTGTGATTCTGTTTAGGCCAGCAGAGAAGGCTTAGCTGGCCCTGACGGCGCACGACTGGGACTGAGTCTAAATAAAGTACAGTGTGTGTGTTGATGGTGATGAAGGAACATGTCACCAGAGCAACAGTGAGGCTCATTGATGTGTTTTAATGGAGCTCTATGGACAGAGGAAGAAGAGACATCCATACACTCTACTTGTTAGCAGATACACTCACTGTTGGTTTGGGTCTGCTCATTAGATTTTGGTGACAATTATAAATATAGAATATCACTGCGGTTATCCTTAAATCATGCTCATTTTTATAACCTCACATATTCTTATCATACAACCAGTGTATCTTACTTCTCATAACTCTGAATGCAGGTCAGTGATAATGTGGCTATCAGCCCTCCATTCTCAGATATCATGGGTGGTGGAAAAATAGCCTCAAGTCCCCGTGGAAAGCTACGAAAAGAAGTTAATAGCTCTCTTTTGTAACAGCTCTTTCATAGATGTGACAAAGAGATGTTTTTGGGTCACGGTATCTAGACACCACAGAACCTTACCGTGCTGGAGAAGTGCTGGAGGACGGGGGGGCCGTGTTAGGGATTGCTAATGGAGGGCTCATGGGCTCCAGGGAGCTGCAGGGAGGCAGGATGCTCATCATCAAACGGCCCCATGTGGCAAAGTTCATGTTCATCTGGGCAGCACGCAGGAAGTCCTTCCCTGTGAGGAGAAATGGGGACAAAAGAGATCCAATCAGAATCCTTTAATAGTGAGGAAAACAACTATGATAGAAAATCTGTGTGATTCACCTATTTGTTTTAATTAGTTTATTTCTAGAGCACATATCGTACACAGTGTGCTTTACAAAAATAATATGAAAAAGGACCATCCATTCATAAAATATGATTCAAATTACATAAAATGGTAATTAAACAGAGAGTAATATGATTATAAGATAAGCAATGTAAATACATTATGAAAACTCAATCATAGGCACATAAAAAGAGAGACGGTTTAACCTGCATTTAAAAATTGCTCCCACAGAAGGCTGTTTAGTGATTGCTTTGATATGGCTGGTAAAAGTGAGATTCTATTAGAACACAAAGATCTATGGCTTAGTCTTTGGTTTTTTAGAGACCAAGATTAGAGTTATTTATCAATAATAGTTATCTTGTCTTTGTTGCCATACACAATAACCTCCGTTTTGCCCGTATTTTGTTGCAGAAGCTTTTGGCTCACCCGATTATTTATCTGCTCTAAACAATGATGCACTGGGCTGAAGTCGCCAGGTAGGCCAGATATATCAAAGTATCATCTGCATAACTATGATAGTCAATGTTGTTGTTCTGTAGAATTCAGAAGGCAGTATGTAGAGTTTAATCAGAAGAGGTCCGAGAACTGTTCCCTGGGGGATTCCGTATGTCGCAGACAATCAGATCGGTAACTGCCAATGGTGACAAAGTAGCTCCGGCGTCCTAAACAAGACCTGAGCAGCAAGACTGCTCCGGAAAAGTCTTTCCCTATTTTCTATGTGTAGCACAATTCTAAGATCTACAGTGTCAATACAACACAGAGTAAAACCAGGACCTGAATTAGTATTCAGCCCAATCATTTAAGACTTTTAGAAGAGCTGTTTCAGTACTGTGGCAAGGTCGGAAGTCTGGTTGTAATTTGTCAAAGTGACCACATGAGTTCAAGATATTGCTGAGTTGATAAGACTTTTCTCAATGATCTCAGCTATGAAATGAAGATCTGAGACAGCTCAATAGTTGTTTACATTAGTATCCAGAGTTCTGTTTTGGGGAGGTTGTAAACTTGTCAACCAGGGCAAAAAGAGTGAGGGTGTTATACAATGGTGCAGGGACGATGTATTTTTGTAGGCCAACAGGAAATCAGCATTGCACTGGTTACCTCGACAAAAAGCCAATAGGATTGTTCCATTGAATTACTGCAGAAAATAACTTCTGTGGCAAACAAACGTTTATGATACTTACACGTTTTGTTCATCGAGATAATCTTCACAAATGAACATAAAGTAAAAAGCTAACATTATGAAGGAACTCCACCTCGGTCATATGACTTCACATCTCCACCACTAAGCTAAAGGAGGATAGTGTTCTAGTGAGGACGCTTAGTCGTCTCATTCAGACACTTTTTTAAGTCACCTAAATGCTTCTAAATTCACCAGAGGGGTGTTCACTGACCTATTTTATATCAGAGAACTAAACTATAGAATCAGTTCAGCTTGTGTCACCACAGACCTAATGTCAGACAGTTCACCATAAACACATTCAAGAAACACAAAGACTTTGAGACGAGGAAATTGAAAAAAAGCCGGGTCATATCTGGGTTTTAGGCTTCATTCCTGGAGCACTATATTGATGTTCCTGTTAATCATCTTAGACAAATGTGTTCATAAACTGAGCACTGGTGCTCTCATTAATGTACCTTTTCTTAACAGAAACGGAGCATCAGGTATAATCAGTAAGTCAAAGACAACAGATAAATCCTCAGAAAGGGCCAAGTCCTGAACCACAACGGAAGAGCTGCTGAGGTACTGAAAAAGAACCAAATCTAAGGTGTGGCTTCGAGTGTGCCTAGGTTCTTTCACATGTCACATAAGACAAAAACTTTCAAATATTTCTCAGGTATAGTTGTTTATTTTATCAACTATGTCGATGGTAATATCCCCAGTTATGATCCAAAAGTTGCAATCCATGGTAATAACTGACAGTAGTTCAACAAAGTTGTCAATAAAATGTGCATCTTGGAGGTCTTTTAGTGGTTAAAAATAAACTGTTGGGAGCTTTTCTCAAAGAGACAGCACCTCTGCTGCCTTCTGCTAACCATGTCTCAGAAAGAAACAGAGAATCAGTTACAATGTTATTAACTAAAAATAATTTGCTGGGGAAAATTCTGATATTAATTAGAGCTAGGTCATAGATCATAGAGGCCCTTTGGGCCGTCTGAAGCCGTCTTGGTACCGGTAACAGATGAAACTAGTTTAGCTTATAAATTGAACACACTCCATTCCTTCTATTTCTTATCAACACCGGAATAAAGCACAGATGGTCCAAGCCCTTTAGAAAGTGTACCAGTGTACGAGGCGGGACCATTGTGATCGGGACTAGGACCCGGGGGGGGGGGGGGGGGAGAACCAGGTGCTGAGGCTGAGCAGTCTACTGAAACGCCCCATTATGGAGTGTAGCTGGCCCCGAGATGTAAACACTTCTATGGAACTGTTCGAGGACGTTGAAAAAAAGACTAATTTTAACAGTTCAGACTGTTTTTTCTTAATGTCATTTGTTCCAACATGTATGACAGTCGTGTCAACCTCAGGGTGGGATTATATCTGTCAGTTGAGGAAAAATAAATAAAAACTGTGAGTATGAGCTCTGTGGACTCTCACATTACAATCTAAGGTTGCAATCAACAAAATGTGGAATATTATGGACATAAAAATAGGCAAAAACCACAATCTTCAAAAAGGTAAAATGATGCTCGTTGGAAACTTGGCGGTATAAACTGATCCAAGTTATAACGTGTATGTCAATTTCTATCAGTTATTGTTTGAATATTTGGCTGAGAGCCATTTTATAATGATGAAATTGATTGGTTGTTGGTATGATGTCACCTTGTCTCCTAGACCAAAATCACATTTCTGTAGTTGTGTGTGACTGAATGTTCTACTCGCAGTAAATTAAACCAAAACTGTCAGAAACAAGTCTGAGAACTAACACTTATTAATAAACAAATAAATAACATCTCAAGAAAGAACTGATGCAATGCAGTATGAATACATGGTGTTACCTTTTTCTTTCGGGAAAATTCTCCTCTGCCTCTGGAGTTTGGAGCGCCGCTCAATGACAGGATTGATAAATGTCACCTGGAAATGAACAGAGCAGCTGATTATGATTCATGTATTAGACTGATGCAGCATTCGTAATGATGGCTGTCATAGTAAAGAAATCTGAACTGATTGGGATAATTGTAACCACAACTCATTAATAAATAAATAGAAAATAAAATAGAAAACAAAATGATGAAAAACATCAGGACACTGATTTGAACTTTTCATGTCTATGGTGAAACAATAATAATAATAATAATAATAATAATAATAATAATAATAATAATAAGCTTGAATTCATTTGAAAAATGACATCAACCCTGGAATGAGAAAGGCAAGTCTAATATGTGGGTAGCAACCTATGGGCGGTAATATTAAAGGGAAGGTATATTATGTATTGCGGTTTGACATATTTTAGTTTTGAGGTTTGATATATTTAAATCCAGACATTCAAGTTTTGGAAGAAGTACGTATGTTTTAGTGTCAAAATGACATTTCCCCTTCTAAAACCATTTTCCCACGCAACCTGACGTCGGTTTCTGCGTAATGACGTTGCTACATATATCCTTATCCGTAGTTAGTGCATTACCTACAGCAACTTTGATGGCGGTCAGCACCCCCCAGTTTGAAGTAGTACCGGCAAGCTGAGCAATGTGCTGCTGAGTGGACGCCACATTAGTTTGGATCAGAAAGTCACAAAATACCACAAACAAACTCACTGACTGAGGAAGCGGTAGACCACCAACTACCGTGGTGGTGCGCAAAGTAAAATGGGTTAGGGTTAGATTTGGAAGCACTGAAGCTGCATTATGGAAATGG